GCACATACAATATATTGCGTGTAAATACATATATATAATATACTGCACATTTTTTTTTAGTTTACATATATGTACTGATCATTGTTTCTAAGAACAGATTAGAGCCTTAGCTTTTTAAACTTACAGTTATCAAGGGAATAAAGCCAACCACAAAATAAGAATCAACAGAATACAGTAATCCAGTCATAAAGGACAGTCAAATGTGTTTACGCATATTCAAGAAATCGGTCATTTAAGTTATAAATAATAAGTAGTTCATTTGTGTCCTTTTTTTTTTTTTTGATTCCACATATAAGTGATATTATATGGCATTTTTCTTTCTCTTTCCAGACCACTTGACTTAGAATGACGATCTCCAGGTCCATCCATGTTGCTGCAAATGGCATTATTTTATTCTTTTTTATGGCTAAGTAGTATTCCATTGTATATATCTACCACATCATGGACACTTGGGTTGTTTCCATGTCTTGGCTATTGTAAATAGTGCTACTATGAACACTGGGGTGCATGTGTCTTTTTGAATCTAATTTTTCTCCCAGTATATGCCCAGGAGTGGGATTGCTGCATCAAATGGCAACTCTAGTTTTAGTTTTTTAAGGAACCTCTGTACTATTTTCCATAGTGGCTGTACCAGTTTACATTTCCACCAACAATGAAGGAGGGTTCCCTTTTCTCCACACCCTCTCCAGCATCTATAGTTTGTAGACTTCTTAATGATGGTCATTCTGGCTGGTGTGAGATGATATCTCATTATAGTTTTGATGTGCATTTCTCTGAAAGTTAGCAATGCTGAGCATTTTTCCATGTGCCTATTGGCCATTTGTATGTCTTCATTGGAGAATTGCTTGTTTAGGCCTTCTGCCCATTTTTGGATTGGGTTGCTTGTTTTTTGATATTAAGGTGTATGAGCTGTTTGCATATTTTGGAAATTAGTTCCTTGTCAGTCCATAATTTGCAAGCATTTTCTCCCATTCTCTAGGTTGTCTTTTCCTTTTGTTGTTGGTATCCTTAGCTGTGCAAAAGCTTTTAAGTTTAATGAGATCCCATTTGTTTATTTTTGCTTTTATTTCCATTACTCCAGGAGCTGGTTCAAAAAATATATTGCTGTGATTTATGTCTGAGAGTGTTGTGCTTGTGTTTTCCTCTAGGAGCTTTATAGTATCTGGTCTTACATTTAGGTCTTTAACCCATTCTGAGTTTACTTTTGTACATGATGTTACAGAATGTTCTAGTTTCAGTCTTTTACATGTAACTGTCCAGTTTCTCCAGCATCAGTTACTGAAGGGACTGTCTTTTCTTCTCTGTATATTCTTGCCTCCTTTGTTGTGGATTAACTGACCACAAGTGTGTGGGTTTATTCCTGGACTTTCTATTCTCTTCCACTGATCTATGTGTCTGTTTCTGTGCCAGTACCATACTGTTTTGATTACTGTAGCTTTGTAGTATAACCTGAAGTCAGGGAGTGTGATTCCTCCAGCTCCATCTTCTTTTTGAAGATGTTTTGGCTATTCGGGGTCTTCTGTGTTTCCATACAAGTTTTAACATTTTTTTGTTCCAGCTCAGCTTCACAGTTTAATTTTGAAAGCAACATACTCCTGTAGTTTCCTCAGGCTGTTGTCTGCCTGGATAACTCAGGAGCGCTTCCGCATCCCCAGCTCTTGGGTGTACTCACACCTGCACGTGTGCTCCCTGAAGAGAGCTGGCTCTGGACACAGGTGGAGCGGAGTTTGGATACTAGTCAGTTGCTCACTTGTTGATCAAGCTACTTAACCTCCTTGAACTTCAATTTCTTCATCTACAAATGGAACTCATACTTATGTACCTCAGAGTTTTTGAAAGGATTAAAAGAAATAATTTTGATTCAAATATTACTTGGTTTATTTTTTCTTTTTTTTCCATTCAGAGCTTAGTTTTGACTCATCTTTGTAGTTCCAGAGCCCAGTTCCATCCTGGGCACTTAGTAGTTGCCAAATGAATGTTCACTGACTAGTTTTCTGTCCTGGGAAGGGCAGCGTGGCATTGCCCTGCTGTGCACTGAACCCCGGCTGGGGTCAGCTTGGTAGGGATGGCCCATCCAGAAATGCCCGGTGTGTGATAGTTGAATGCCATTCAGTTGGGGAAATGAGGAGATGTATGCAGAGCAGAACCTCTGACACTATGGTTTCTGTGTAAATATGCTAAATGGAGTGATACAGGGAAAGAACTATTGATGCAGAAAGGGGAGAGTTTGAGATGGGTGTAATGAGCGTCCAGATCTCTCTCTACACACAGTGTGCATGTGCACACTGTTCATGAAAGATTGATTGACCTTTTCCCTCATTGGTGTCTTGGCTGTGTGCTCACATCGCTGTAAATGTCTGAGTTCAGAACTGGGGGCCTGTTTCGTTCCTATGAGATTCCTCCCTATTAGATGTTGAGCTACTTGAGAACAGGAATTGGAGACACCGTGACGTGTATCTTCCTTGGCTGCCTAGTGAGCGTTTGTGGGTGGTGATGCAGGATTGAGTGCTACAGTCTGAACCTTCCTGACAACAGGGTAAAGTGTTACTGTGGGCGTGAACAGTTGTGGGGTCCAGCCATGGCTTTGGTTAATGAGTCATTTGGCTCCCACTATTCCTGAGTCACAGACTGTCCTGAAGCCCTCCTCGCTGACTCATCTGGGCCCTCTGTTGAGTCCTGGACGCCTCCTGCAGGGGCCGTGCATCACTGAAAGAGCTGAGGAATATAATGATAGCGGCTGGTCTTCAGAGAAGCTAGTAGCCCTCCTACGAACCTGCA